AGGTTTGAACTCAGTATTTGTGCAAATGCACTGCCATAAGAAGTCCGCAGAGGACCCAAGGATTCCCTTTCCTGAGTTATCCATGGCTTAGCTTACAACCGTAATGCTGGGCAATTTCAGTATTACTCTTTTAACTAAGTTTTCAGAACTGAAACCAAACCATACACAAACATCCTCCCTCTTTTACTATATAACCCGCATTTAGCACAACCAGCCCAATTTGCAAAAATAACATTTCAAAATCACTGACTTCTACATTTGGTATTCTCACGTGTTTCTTGCTACAGTTGGATGTCTTTGTGGCTATCCTAATTCTGGATGTGGCACTGTGTAGACAACGGTGTGGCCGTGCACCCAAACTATTCTCAAACATTTATTGGCCAAAACCGCCTCCTTCCATTTTCTTCCCATTTATTTACTTTGATTCAGTACAGTAAGAAGCTGTAATTCGATGTTAAAGTAATGCTTTTGCGCCACCTCCTGGCGAAGGTGTGAAATTTTGTCCAGAGTGAGTGGTAAGGTGGGGGGACGTGGAAAGCCAAGTAGTTTGAGTCTTTTAAAGAGTCAAAATAGCCTCTGGGAGCTCACTGAGTACTGCATTTGAATTCTCCTTGAACTACATTCAATTAGGTCACTCTTCCTAAATCATCTTATGATATTTAGCAAAACTGCCTAACTGCCACCGTTAATATGCTCACAAGGTCCAAGATGTTCTATTCATTTCTGGGAACACACTGATATTTTCCTGAGACCCATTAATAATTCTCATAGGATTTATGTACAAGATAAATTCAATTCAATTTCCTTTTTCAATTAATGACCAATTATACGAGCCAGCCTTGACTGAAAAAGCTGCTCAAGTATCATTAATCTAACAAAAATTAACTTTACAATTTTTGTAATAATAAGAACATAATTTTAAGGTAAAATGAAGCTCCTTATTTAATAATGTTATCCCATATTATAGCACAGTTACTATTACCTTGTTAAAAGGTCATATTAGCTCAAGATACTGAAATATTATCGTTGTGGAAGCTTTTATATTTAAACTTAAAAGAATCTCCACACTGATTGCAAACAAATTCGGGTTGATTTAAGTGGGTAATTTGTGTACTATTCTTTCTTAGTCTCACATTCTTCTGCCTTTGTGCTGTGTTGTTACTGTTCTCATTGTTAGAACTACTATTATTATTACTACTAGCAGTTGTTGCACTGCCTTAGGCAGTTTTTGGTAATAAAGCTGTATTTGCCATGTTGATGTGGAAAGGTGCTGGTGGTGGCAGTGTTTATTTTATTATTTCTATAAACAAAATGTGGGATGTTATGGATATCGCTAAACAAAATGTGAGATGGTAATATCAATCGTAACAAATGGCAACAGTTTGAGAAGCAGAGAAAAAGGTAAATGATGTTGGGAAAAAAATATACAAGTGATTCCAGAGTGGGTTAGAATATATTATGCAGCAGTATAAAAGATGTGCAACCAGTAAAACTACAGAAGCACCTCTGAATTAATGTATTACATACATCACCCTCCAACTACCTTGCTTTAAAACAGGGGTGGACAGCTTGTCGGTCTTTTTTTAACATCATACCTCAAGGTCCAGCAACCTGAGCCTGGGGCAAAGGACATAAATTTAGAATTAAAACAAAAACAAAAGTCCCTCTTTTTTTTTCTTTTTTTTTTGCTACTCTTCTAAAACAACTGGAACTCAGTTCTTTCTGATCTAGTGCAGTTCACTCGAAAGATTTGTAAAAATCAGGATCTACCTTCTGTCCATTCCCATTCTACTACTATCCAGCACTAAACTATCTAATCGAGGGACTATCAGGAAACAGTGGTTTTCACCTGACAATACAGTAACTATTGTCCAGGTACAAGGAATTACACAGCTAGAGTACCACCAAAGAGAAGGCTATATTACATGCCAGGGCAAACTGAATCTTTGTTAGGTGATGTCCTGACACCATTACATGAGGATCCCTCCTGTGAAGACAAGCCAGAGATAACAGAATCAGATATGGGCAGGTGCCCAGACCTTTGGGGGTCTACAAGACCACAAGGGACTGAATCTGAGAAGCAGACCTTCAGCCAGCCCATGGGAGCAACATGAAAGGAAAGACTTCTTAGAAGAAAGAGCTCCTTCCAGAGTAGACAGTCGTCTTTGACGAAAGTTTTTTTACTCCCAGGAAAACGAAAAAAGCCAAACCCTACAGCTGATGCAACCCTTCTTCAGCAGGTCTGGAGTTTGTAGCTGAGTGCTTGTGGGGCCCGGACAGCCAAGATGCAAGAACCAAGACTGTTGGTTACAAGTTTGCTATGTTCCAGGGTCCAGCATGCTTTGTGCCCACCTCTTGCTGCTGAACTGTTACCATGCGCAACCTTTGGATTGTCGAACTACAACTTGCTTGTCTCTGACACACCTGGACTGGCTTGACCCCAGTCTGCCTTTTGAGATTGCCTTTGGATTTTGGGTAGGATTCTACCTACCACACCTTGGACTGCTTTTGCTTTTGATTCTGGGCTTCAGTGGCTGGGCTTGTTGGGTACTTCTGCCTGCACAGACTTTTGGAAGCCAGCCTGGCGGTAGCAGGGTGGATGACAGAATAACTACAAAACCATCTTGGCAGACATCATATAACAGGAGAAGCATAATGGAGCTATGGTTCACAAGGTCAAAGCCCCTGGATTTTTAAGCAGGAACTATGGCATTATTAGCCATGCCCCTTCAAGGCTTCCCTGTTTTATCTGAGTTTAACTGCAGACCTCACAGTAACGGGGAAAGAAATGGGACTTTTCTTAGAAATAGTATATTGCTGCAAGCTATCTTTCTTGTAAAGCGAAGTATTGGATGGTGGTTTCTTCTTCAATAAGCAATTAATACCCATGAACCTCACAAAAGATCTGCTCCTAATTTTTGAGTTGGACCAATCCAACTGCTGCATTTTTTTACTCTGCTTTTGGGGGGACAGGGTGGCTATGGAAACTGCCCTGATGAGCACCTGGACTCCCAAATATAACACTACACACCTGTTTATCAGACAAGAAGATAGAAGGATAGCCAGTTTTAGCCTTTAGTATATTATCCATTAAATCCAACACCCTGGATTTGGTTCAGTAATAAATAGCATGTAGTGTGACTCTTTAAGGGTAAGTGTAATCTACAAACGTTCCTCAAGGCCAGCTCCACACTTCTGTAGCATTACAATAACCTGATTAGATGGCTCAGCTGGGCTATCTCTGTCTATGAACAACTGTACCTAGTGAACCAGCAAGAGCTGGTAAAAACTCTGCACCACTGGGCCTTCAATGGCATGGATCAATCAAAACATATCAGCAGACTGAAAAGTATTTATTCATGAATAATGCAAAGACATCGATACCAGGATAGTCCCTAACTCCCAAACGCGACAATAATAAATCTACCGTCTGTCCACCTTGCCATGGATTACTTTAGTTTTCTGGCTTTTAACCAAGCTACTGATGCTGCAAAACTGTTTTCATTGCCATGTTGCCTCTGATCCATGAAGCAACTTCTAGCCAGTGATAAAAAACTCTCCCCCAAGAATGTGTCTAATGTCACTACAGCATCTTGGATCAATCAGTTCCACAAACTCACAATGAGTTAGATCCCATGAATGGACAGGTTCCTTCCATCCGACAGAACCCATGGAAGGACAAAAGGAGATGAACACCTTCTACCAATATCTGGGATGCCCTCGTCACATTTTGCTCTCCAATCAGTTTGTCCCTCTTTTTCATTACTCCAGTTCGCTGTCAGTCTGCAGCTCTGTCCTTCCTCTGACTGTAGCAACAGCCGGTATCCTACCAGATATTTACATACATGCAAAAGGAGTTGCTGGAGTTGCTACAGCTAATTGAAAAGGTGCTGGTCCCATGTCCATTGTGACTCTGACTGCATGCTGAATCAAGCACCTTCTTCCAAGACATAAATTATACTTTGATGTCATTTCAGCTGCCACTTCCAATCTCTGGCAAGGCAGAGATCACAAGCAAGGCAGCTATGCACAAAAGGTTCACAGCAAACATTTTCAAAGTAGATATGAAAGACAAATAATTGTATTTACTATATTAAAAGACAAGAGCACCGCAACAGAGCATTATAGGTTGTTATATTACCTTGCAAAAATAGCATCATTATGATAGTTTCTTACATTTAAAGACATGGGTGCCTAGCTATGCAACACATGCCTTTCTCATTTACGTGCCACTTGAATACAAAATCACGCTGCCACAGCAGTGTGAGAAAAACTTGTCACAGGCCTGTGTCGCTGAACAGCAATAGCTAAAACTGCTACCACCCTGTGTAACTGTGAAAACTGCTGTGAGTTGGTGGCCTTACCAAGCCTTATGATCAAACTGCAGCATTAATGTTGGTGGTGACCGTTCTAGCCTATAAAGAGAGAACGGGCAGCCAGGACAGCCCTGTAAGAAAGTGGTCCCCAACCTTTTTGCCTCCACGGACCGGTTTAGTGTGCGGGCAGGGGAGCATCCATCCGTCCATGCATGGGAGGAGCCATGCGTGCGTCTGTGCGTTAGTGGGAGGGGCCATGCACGCATGGGAGGGGCAGTGTGAGCAGAGGGGCGTGCATGTGCCTGCGGGGAGGCAGGAGATTTGTCTCCACAGCCCAGTCCTAGCAAGGCCATGGACTGGAGGTTGGGAACCCCTGCTTTAAGGTAAGAGGACACACCAGCATAATACAGTCATACAAACGGGTTTCTCCACTGAGCAGCAAGCACCTATCTTCATCCCAAGTGTCAATCTGGAACCTAAGTGCATTCAGCCACAGGTAAGTACTGAGCAGCGCAAACCTTGGTTACTTGGATTTTATGTCCCACTGCAGCTAGTGGGATTTACTACTTGGTAACATCATCTACAACTGCAGCCTAAATACATAATCTTCACCGCCAGATGTACCTCTCAGAGAAGAGCCGCATGATGCCGACATGAACAAAGAAACTGCATAAAGACATTTACCGTGAAATGTTCCTGTGACTTGAAGTTCTCATCCAGGTAAACTCGGGCTCTGTTGTAATCTTTCATTGCATCACTTGATAACAATTCTCTGAAATGACATATAATGAAAGAAACAGAGTAACTACTTTTTTCTAAATATTATGTACCTCTTAATTTAAAAAAAAAAATCCAAAACACGCTGAGGCCCCACTGAAATTCAGAAGGCTAAAAGCTGAACATGGGCAGAAAGGCAATGGGAGAAATGGTGCCCCAGTTCTTGAATGGATGGATACTCTACTTATCTTTATCTCAACTTGTTCCCATTCAGTTCTACACTCCTTTCTCATCCATATCTATAAAAACACATTCCAAACAACTATGTTACACTTTAAAATCACACAGAAGGCACAGGAATGCTTCTCTTTTTATTATGTAAAGGCCAGAACGTTGCTGCTGGTTTACAGTTGTGTTAAGGGAAACTCAGTAAGTTTTGGCAACTAACTGTTGCTCAAACTGATGGTGGCAGTTGCAATCCAGAGCATGCAGTCCCAGCAAGAAGGAACCATTTTGCTGCCAACAGTTAAGAGTGTGATCACACAAGCATATAGCTGACATTTTGGACCTCTTGTGGTGCAGTCTGGTACAAACTATTTCTCAGAATAAATAAATAAATAAATAAACAAACTATTTCTCAGTGATCACAAAGCATATTGGGGGGGGGATGAACTCCAACCCTCTGTGTCAAAGCTAGACCTTTTTGGTCCACAGCAGTAGGGCTACTCTTTTTGGGGCTAGGCTGGAGTGATCCCCTGATGGATGGAAGGGTGGCTTAAAATAACATTGCTCCTGTTGAAGCAATCCTTTCCAGTGTGATCAGGTGCACAACCTTTTTACCAGCTAATTGCACCCTTAGTCATTTTGTCTCACTGAAGTGTAAATCAGCAACAGCTTTCTACTCATTACATTATTAGAAAGGCACAAGCAACTGTCTGTTGACTAATCTCGGTAGAGGGCACTGTTCCTCTACTTTCAGTGCAGTAAAACTATAACAAATTCTTGTATATGAGCTAAAGGAAAAAAACGGGTACTGAAGCAAAAAAAAAATCACCAGTGCAAGAATAAACTGAGACATCTGTTACATCTGAGATACTTCAGCAGTGCCTCAACAGTGAAAGGAATGGCAGACAAAAGGACTATGTGTCTCTATTTTTCCCTGAAGCTAAATATATTTCATTATTTTTCACCAGCAGTTGAATATTCAACATCAACAATTGTTAGCATCTACAGGCAATGTAGCACAGAGAAGCTAACATGATCAAGCCACGCGATACCAAAATATAAGACAGCAGAAGCATCTTAAAGCAGCTCATCAACTGAATCATTCAAGCTGTGAGCTTGGAACTCAAATGTAGTTCATACAGTGCCCAAGTATGGAGGTTTTACAGGTGGGGATGTGTTCATGACCCCTGCAACTGAGGCCAGCACTTCCAGTTAGAGCTGCAGCCTTCAAGAAGATGCAAGTGATTTATGTCAGAAGTTGTCCAACCACCCAAAGACAGTGCTTTGGGTGATTGGGAAATTCATTCCTGTCACAGTGCAAACTCAGTCTTCAAAGCTGATTTAACAAGCGGTTTACTAGAGTATTTCCTACAGGAGGCAACATTTAGAGAAGCACAGTTCTTGGATTTCATGTGACGGAGAAAAATACTGCACCTGTAGAAAGTCTATCTAGGCATATTGTGGATATTATGGACAACCCAGGCAGAAATCAATCAGGTGTGAATGAAGCAAGTTCTTGGGAGATTAAAATAATTATGTGCTGTCAAGTCAATTCTGACCTACAGTGGCCCTTTTCAGAGCTTTCTAGGCAAAGAGTAGTCAGAAGGGGGTTAATATTCCTTCTTCTGGGGACATCTTGAGACTGTGCAACTTGCCCAGGGCTACACAGGCTAGCTCTTCTCTTGGGAATAGTACTCCCAAACTCTGGCTCTGCAGTCAGATATCTAATTCACAGAGCTATTCAGGAACCTGGGAGATAACCCCTGTCATATTTTCCTCTGAATATTCCAGTTTTATCATAGAATCATAGAAAAGTAAAGTTGGAAGGGGCCTACAAGGCCATCAAGTCCAACCCCTTGCTCAATGCAGTAATACAATCAAAGCATATCTGCCAGGTGATTATCCAAGTTTTTATTGAATGACTCCAGTACTGGAGCACTCACCAACTCCCGAGGTAACTGGTTCCACTGAAAACCCACAGCAAAATATGCATACACAGATACTAATCTGTGAGCAGATATAATATCTTGCACCAGGCAACATTTTCATTTCTTCCATTGCATAGAACTTTAAGTTATTTGTCATAACTCAACATGTCTACAGCTTTGAGCATGAGATAAGACAGTGAAGCATCTTCAGTTCTTATTTTAAAAACAAAGGTGCATAGACTATGAAATGACAGTAAGATGAATTTGTAAGTGGTTGAACAAAAGTTGTTTATCAAAATAAATGATGAAGAATTTACAGAAAATGCCTGTGTTACACAGACGATTTTAACACATGTCAAGAAACAGTATGAAAAGGATAGCTACTCTTAACTTTCCAAACTCACATTTCTAAATATCAATACTATTAATCTATCACAAGAATTGTATTTTTAAAATACTTCATAAGAAGTGGAAAACCAGCATCAGCTGATTGTTGCATTAGTCTGTGTCCTTTCAAAATGGTTGAATTCTCATTCTTAGCACGTACAACAGAGATAGTAATGTATTCGCGAAGGCTTTCACGGCCGGGATCTAATGGTTGTTGTGGGTTTTTCGGGGTTCTTTCTTGGCCATGTTCTGAAAGTGGTTCTTCCTAACGTTTCGCCAGTCTGGCGAGACTGGCGAAACGTTAGGAAGAACCACTTTCAGAACACGGCCAAGAAGCCCAAAAAACCCACAACAACCAAGAGATAGTAATGTTTGCTACAATTGATCCTTCTTCCTTACTCATTAAACTAGGCTGAAGATTCAGTGACAGAAGAAAATGACAACTTCTGTTGGCTAATTCTTCCAACCAAAAAGCTTTTCACACTGCAGTTACCTACCATGTGATTCCTAAAAACAAAACAAAACAATTCTTCGTGCTCAGTGCTTTCTCTAGTCTTACCCACTATGGTCTGCAGCAGGAACAGCCAATAAATGGAGTGAAATAATTCTGAGGTACAAAAAAGCATCATGAATTTTAAAAAGTGTGTTTGCTATTGTTGAGAAACCCTTTTCCCTGGATTTTCTGACAGAATCACACCCTGTCGTGTCATTTATTATAGGAGAGAAGAAATACACAGCTGCATTTGGGTATTACAGTTCTGTACTCATCATGGTGAGGAGGAGCAGGGCCATGTGCTTGGGCCTCCCCATCCCTCTCCCTACCAGAGTCCCTGCATGTGGCAGCTCTATTGCTGACCTTCCTCTACTGAGCTGGAGGTTTCAAGGGGGATTCTGTAAATGTTCAGCTCAGCGTAGGAAGGCTGAGGGATCCAGCTGGTGTGTTTGGCCTCCTCCTCCTCTGCAGGTACAGCTCAATGATTTAATGAGCTTATCCTTACCAAGTCATCTAATGTAGAGATGGAAATTACATGGCTTGGGAGGACATTTGTGCAGCATCTGAACTAAAGAAAAATGAACAAAAATTAAAACTGCTGCTTTTGAAACACCCAGGAGCTGAAATTCTCCTTTAACACCAAGCATAGGTCTCCAACATGCTGTTTTACCCCAATTACAAAAGGGGTTCTTATGAAACGTAATGTTGCCTTCTTATCACTTCCAGTTGGGGCTGGAATGATGCACAGTAATCTAATGTGCCAAAAATGGTTTCCTGGACCCCCAGAGCACACTCAACCCTAATCTCACGGAGGAAGTATTTGTGCTCAAGTATAAACATGGTGGCTTCCTCACCCACCCCCATTGAACAGGTGGATAAAAATCAATGGTTTTTAAAAACAAATTGATTTAAATCAAGAATTGATTTTTTTAAATTTAAATCTTCAAAAAAATCCTAGTTTTTTATTTAAATTGTGATCAATTCCACACTTCCACTGAATATGAAAAACTATTTTTCATCTGTCTCCATGCTCTTACATCTTTAACACATTGAACTAGTATATAATAATAGGTAACTCTCAGACCAGTAGTACAAACATTTTCCAAGCCAAAACACTGACATTTTAAATAACAGCATGCTTAACATATTAAACAGAGTGATATTGGTCATTTTTCTTTCTTTCTTTCTTTCTTTCTTTCTTTCTTTCTTTCAAAAAATACATTTTGACTAGCAAGGCAAGGCCATTATTGAACTCTGAACAGCATCCTTCTTGTTACTTACTTAACAAACTTGTCCACATGAGACATGGAGGCTTCATAGTTTTTCCCACCAAACTCCTGACAGTGCAATGCCATAAAATGTGGCTTATGTGTGTGTACAACCTGTAAAAAGAAACAAAGCATGAGCACATCCAGAACTTCAAAAATTAAACAACCAGAAAGAGAGCATCAGAAGTTCTACATAATTCAGGCTAAAACCACAACTTTTCCCAATAACAATGCTATATCTTTGCAAGTTCAAATACGTAATATAAGAATTTGTTAGATCCCATGACATGTTTTCAGAAAACTATATTACAACATTACAGATTCTAAAGTCAGGCTGCTTCACTAGTTGCATTTTACCTGCACTTCTGGTGGCAGGTCTGTAGGAAATACTGCAGGTATTACACCTACTACACATGTCAATGATATCCTTATGATGAATTATGCTGATCCCTCAACTAAAAAGCAAATGTGATGAACTGCCATACTGGCTGACTGACTAAAATGTCTCTACTTTGCCCAGAAAACTTGTGCTATATACAGTGGTACCTCGCAAGACGACGACTCTGCTAAACAATGAATCTGCATAACAATGACTTTTTGCAATCACTTTAACGATTCGCAAAATAGTCATTCCAATGGGGGATGTTCGCTGGATGTTGATTAGGTCCATGCTTCGCGAACCGTTTGTTTGCAAGACGACGATTTTTTCCACTGATCGTGGGCTTCACAAAATGGCTGTGTTTTCCAGACCCATGCTCTGCAAAACAGCCATTTTCACAGCTGATTGGTGCTCGCAAAATGGCTTCCCTATGGGCGATCTTTGCTGGACGATGAGGTATTTTCCCCATTGGGATGCATTAAACCAGGTTTCAATGCATTCCAGTGGGGAAAGGGTTTTCGCATGACTACGATTTCGCTAAACAACGATTTCAATGGGACGGATTATCGTTGTCACGTGGGGCACCACTGTAACTTTCTTCTAGTGATCGTCATCATGTGGGGCACCACTGTAACTTACTTTCTTCTAGTATTAAAAACACAGAATGCAACATTTTAAAAGCTTTGATAGTAGGATGTAAAAAAAGGGAACATAAGCCCAAACACACAAGACAGACCTGGGAGAGAAGTGAGACAGAAAAATAAAATGAAATAGCTTTGTTCCTCCATGGACTCAGGGACGGACACTATGATGAGACCTCAGGGGTTGCCCTTTATGGCAGACAACAGGGAAGAAAATTAAGCTGCTTCCTATGTGAAGCTTGTCCACATGACAAGCTTCCTATGGGAAGCAGCTTAACGCTCATGAAAATGTTGTGAAAATTGATGGCCAACAGTACCCAATAGAAATGAACAGTAGGAGCACAGATGACCAGATGGAACACAGATGCCAAGTGGCATAAGCAGAGGAGGATCGACGGCATGCCCAAGAAACCTGGGAGTGGTACAGAATCAAGCCAGCCTTCCTCCTGGCAAAGTAGGGTGGGAGCCAAACAAGACAGCAGGGGGACTGCATTAGCAAAGTAACCCCCCCCCCCAAAGGAGTTACTGTTATATGTTTCGACTTTGCATAGCATGACTGTCAAAAGGTTGGTCACTGCTGAAAACTTCTATCTGATTTTCCCTGGAAACAACTATCAGAATTTAGCAAAACTGCCAGAAAAACTCACCTCCACCAAGAAATATATGGAAAACTTTCAGGCTAACTTAACAATTCAGGATAAGATGGACCGGGAGATGGGTAGGAGACTGAGTGTTCTCATTTGGTAGAAAAATTAAAAGACATAATACTGTATATACAAGGCAAAATGATAAATGATATGGATAAGAACACTTTAGCTTCTCTATTGCCAAAAGAAGGTTACGAATGAAGAATAAGGCAACTGAGAATGCCTGACGTGACTTATTGTTAGGAACAAACAATATAGCAGTCCACGATGAGAAGCTGTACCAATTTATCAATACTGGCATAAAAACAAGACATATATTTACCACCAGGATCCTAGACTTCAAACAATTGTACAGAATTCATGAAAAGATCTGTATAACACACAAAATCAAAAACACTTCCCCACTAAAATTTTGGGGACATACTTAAATTTGAAATTTTGGCACTGGCACATATGCAAGGGATATACTGTGGCATAATATTTGTGTTGGAATTTAGAATTTGGAAAGATACAAAGTGCTAAAAAGAGCAAGAGTGCAAACTTGATGGATCAGTTCTACAACTCCAACCTTCACTCTGCCGAAATACTGTTCACTCTTCATTTTTTGTGAGTAGTCTGCACTGACTAATCTTCATCTTCTTTTTGTACTGTTACAATTTCAAAGAGCTAAGATTCACCCACACAAATGGCGGCTATCCCTACACAAAGCACTCTAAGAAGGAATAGGACACTGTGCAACTTTGCCTTGCCACTACCTTGCCACTGCCAGCCTAAACAAAAGAGAATCAGCGTAAAAGCACAGAATCAAAGAATACTGAAGTTGGAAGGGGCCTCTAAGGCCATTGAGTCCAACTCCCTGCTCAATGCAGGAATACTAATCAAAGGATATCTGCCAGGGGGTTGTCTATGTTTCTCTTGAACGCCTCCAGTGTTGGATCACTCACCACATCTCAAGGTAATTGGTTCCACTGCTGTACTGCTCTAACAGGACGTTATTCCTGATATTCAGCCAAAATCTGGCTTCCTGTAACGTTACCCCATTGTTGTGTGTACTGCACTCTGGGATGACTGAGAACAGATCCAGCCTTTCTTCTGTTATGACAGCATTTCAAGTATTTGAAAAATGCTATCCTATCTCCTCTTAGTCTTCTTTTCTCAAGGCTAAACATACCCAATTCTTTCAGCCTTTCTTCACAGGGCTTAGTTTCCAGCCCCCTGATCATCCTTGTTGCCCTTCTCTGAAGTTGTTCCACTTTGTCAGCATCCTTCTGGAGTCCAGTGTCCAAAACTGGACACAGCACTCAAGGTGAGACCTAGCCAGTACTGAATTAAGGTGAACTAGTACCTCACGGCAGAGGTCCGCGGCCTGGTCCCAGTCTGTGGCCTGAGCCGGACTGCGTAACGGAGACAGACCTCCCCCCATTCCCCCTGCGCAGCCCCTTTATGCATGTGCCTGGATGCCTGTGCCAGCACAAGCGCTCCCCCATCCCTTCGCACATGCACACAAGTGCCCCCAAGAGCTGTCCCACCCGTCATACAAGCCCCCGCACGAGCGCCCTCCTGCTCCTTTGTACATGCGCACAAGCCTGGGGGGTGCCCCACCTTCCCCAATCAGTCCACGGGATTAAAAAGGTTGGGGACCACTGCCTCATGGGATTTAGAGACTACTTCTGTTAATGAAGCCTAAAATAGCATTTGCCTTTTTTGTAGCCACATCACACTGTTGGCTCATATTCAGTTTATAATCTATGACAATTCAAGGATCCTTCTCACTCGTAGGATTGCTGAGCCAGATATCCTCCATCTTGTAACTGTGCTTGGTTTCTTTTTCCTGGGTGTAGTACTTTGCACTTAATCCTACCGAATTTCATTTTGTTACTTTCAGCCCAGTGCTCAAGCCTATCTAGATCATTTTGAATTTTGTTTCTGTCTTCCAGGGTATTAGCCATTCTACTCAATTTTGAGTCATCCACACATTTGATGAGCCCCACACTAGCATGTGTCCAGCTCACCCTGTTTATGAGAGGCAGGCAATATTTCCCTGGGTGTGAGAACCTAACCGCTCCTATTTTGACATCCAGGGGACATATTTTTAAAGGTAAAAATCCAAAGGCAGTCAATATATTTTTTAGCATTAAGTATATATCCACAAAATGTGTACTCTTTCAAGTTCTCCAGAACTTTTTATTGCGCTAGACCACTGATTCCCAACTTTGGGTCTCCAGGTTTTCTTAGAATAAAACTCCCAAAAAGCCTTCACTCCTAGATGTGCTGGTGAGAATTTCTGGGAGTTGTAGTCAAACAACATTGGGGGACCCAAAGTTGGCAAGCACTGAGTTAGAGAATCAACTCTTGTGGAAGAAGGGAAAAAACATGGAAGTCCCATCATTTGGTAAGATGTTTTAGGACACGTCATGGAGGTTTGCAATTAAACTGAGTTCCAAGATAGAAAGTAGGGGATTGATGAGAAGCTGGTGAGGATTTCTGGGAGTTGTAGTCAAACAACATTGGGGGACCCAAAGTTGGCAAGCACTGAGTTAGAGAATCAACTCTTGTGGAAGAAGGGAAAAAACATGGAAGTCCCATCATTTGGTAAGATGTTTTAGGACACGTCATGGAGGTTTGCAATTAAACTGAGTTCCAAGATAGAAAGTAGGGGATTGATGAGAATTACACAGGTAGTTCGTGGCCTATGTGAAAGACAACGTGGGGAACTCCTTTTGCTGGAAACACAAAGACAGCAGAAACTCAGGCATGTGCATTTAGGAGAAACACACAGGATTCTTTAGCAGCATTCAGCAGAAAACAGGAAGGAGACATGTTTGAGAGGGCAATTGAATCAGTGGTGCTGTGTGTCATTTGGCTGCAGATGTAACACTTCGTCTTGGGTCACTTTTGGAAATAAAGGCCCAAAAGAAATAAAACATATAGACAAACAAACATTCAATACTGAGTCTTGAGAACAGAGGATAAAGGTTACACACATGTTCTAATTTCAGATATAAAATTTAGCAGGGTACTTACTAACCTTGGTATTTCAGCCTCCACCACAAACATCCTTTTTCTTTTTAAATTTATTTCGCTCTCTGTCCAGAAAAAAGTGGCACACCCTCCCTGAATTTAAGTTTCTAAATATAGCAATGCTACATAAAATGACAGGTTACAAGGAAGCCAAACCTCAAATGCCCACTGGCTACATCAGAATTAAGTGAGATGCCTGTATAGAGTGTTGTTGGCAGATCCTGCTACAAAGAAACTACAGTATAATCTCATTTCTCATTTTCAAGAGGCTAACAGTTAGTTCTTTCAAAAGAACTACAGCACAGCCTTAATACTGAAGAGTGGTTTGTTTTAATATATAAAATATAAGAGACGTCCTTCTTCTACTAACTTTTATTTATACAGTATATTAAAAATTTAGTAGAAGAAAAACAAACAAAAAAGCAA